GACTTTCTGACTGAACGACTGTGCTCCATGGAGCGGGGGAGTCTTCTCATCAGACACCAGACAGCCTCGTGTTTAAATCATTCTCGTCACCGTCGGTCGACCAGTCAGTCATGTGCGCCTTCCAAATAAGCAACTAGTTTGGTGGCTGAGCCATTACATGAATGGATGTAGCTCGATCTGTACTTCGCGTATGGACCGACACACCTTTTCGAAAATAAGCTGAACCAGAAATTGCAAGAATAGTACATGCATAAGCTTTCGTCTCGCAAAACTTTGTACGTACATTCACTAGCTAATGTTCTATGCCAGAGCACTCGACTTAACTAATAGGTTAATGTGTGCAGATCCAGTAACAGAACTGAAACCAAATTACTCTAGTCAACAATTACATTATTACAGGCCTACACAGCTGTACGCAACACTGAACAGTACAGCCCTCTTGCAATAGGGAACGAACAGCTGTAGCTACCACGGAGTCAGACTGGGCCAGTGTGGCTATTACAATTCAATTATATCCAATGGCCAACGCGGGAAATTATTTGGTGTCATGTAATGCTACGAATGAATTCCCCTGAGTGCAATGACTATTGTTTAACAACATGGTAATTTCTAATTAGGTTAATAGACTGATTAAGGCGCTGGGGATGTGCGTACAGACACACATTTATTTTATTTTAAGTTAATCGAAACCGTATGGTTACAAAACAGCTTTTCGAGTATAGTGGTTGTCCCCAGTTTAGGCACAGAAGAACAGTTGCGGGGGCAATGCCGACCCCAAAATTGCTGAATCTCTCATTAATCAATTACCCAAATACGCAGAAAGCCATTAATTTCAATTCCTTCTCATTTGATTTTAATTTATATGTAAAATATTAACTGAGCAGTAGGTCCTATAGTTTCATCAAAGGCCATTTAAACCACCGTTCAAAACGGCGGCAGACCCGGTGTGACCCAACAGAAAATTGAGACTGGTAAATATAAATTAAAATGAAAGATATTTCAAAGTTCAAAGATCTATACGGCGAAAATAACTAAGGCTACGCACAGTTCGGAGGGTTATGGAATAATTAATAGCAATGCCTTATAGTGCAATTTGTTCAAATTACGTTTGGTTGTTAAGAGTAAGTAAGCGAAAATAACTCTGATAGATGGAGCACTTACGGACCAATAAATTAGAGAAGTTATGACAGCGAAGGAAAATAAAATTATTGTTCATCAACGAATTTATTTTCCAGTGACAATAATAATGATCTGGCAGTGCACAGCGGAGCTGGACCACGATGAGATTGGTTTTACTAAACGGAAAACAGCCCACCTTCGCTGTTCGATGAGGTTGCGTTCTCGAAAATCCCCGCGATGTCCGAAGTTCAGATCTCATGGGAAAAATAGGGTTACGAGAACCAAACACGCAAAACATGATACTAAGTATGTATAATTAATTATTAATGAACACTGGTACATAACTGATGGTGTTTCCTGGGACTACGTCGGCGTTCCTAGCTGAAAGTTATCAGTGAGAGCGAACACAAGGGCAACGATCAGTTCTAAAAAATGCGAAAAGTACAGTCAACGTACATTCAGTGTGGCTCGATATCTGCATAGCTACTGAGATGTTCTCCGTGAGCCTGTGTACAAATGATAGCGAAAAATCTAGGGACTTAAGCCGCGATGCACAATAATTTTTACGCAAATAAGCAACACCGCGATACGCAAATTGGAGCACGAGGAGGGGCTTCTGTAAACTAATCTGATGTTTTCCTGTGGTTCTAATTATCTAACAGGTGAACGAAGAATAAATAATAAAGAATATATATTCTGATTAAAGTAAGTTATGCTGTTGTATTGTGTCAATACTTAGCCTGTGTTTTATACTTCATTACAGGATGAGCTATTTTCCCTTGAACCGTTTCTGTCAAATAAGTATTTCACTCTGGATGAATAACTGGGGCACCTGCATCTCAGTTAATCGCGAGTTATTTTTACACAATCACGCACTGTGAGGAAACTATGTAGAGCGAAAAGAGATTAAGTGACAGGATGCTGGAGAAATCTACATACGCCCAACAAAGATATTCATAATTTGCTGGCTTATTCTTTACCAAATACGATTAGGAATATAAAATCTACGAGGATGGGATGGGTGGGGCATGTGGGACGTATGAGGAACATTAGAAATGCGTACAAAATTCTGAATGGAAAGCGTGAATGGTAGAGGCCACTCTAGGAAAGCCTGGGGATCGATAAGGAGGTTACCATTAAAATAAATCTCAGAGAAATAGGCTGGGTCTTAAATGGATTCATCTGGCTAGTGAAAATAACCGATAGCGTCCTCTCGTGAACACACTGAACACAATAATGAACCTTCGGGTTTCACAAGGCAAAGAAATTCCTGAGCATCAGAGCGTAACTTACGCCATGTGATTAGTTATTCTAACATAGCTTGAATGTATTCATTGTAAACCAAATTTGTAAACCTTCGAAATTTGAAATTCGTTATAAATTCCTTCTATGCCTGAACCCGATGTTTATAATGTGCATGCATAAAAGAAATGTTTGACTTAATTAACTTTATTTTTTATTTTTGTCAGCTAATTAATGTCCTATCAGTGTTATTACATACAACAATCATTCCAATATATTAAGCGTACCATCAATTTAGTTACAAATATTAGCAGCATTACGCATATTATAGCAAATATAAGTTAATTAACTGGATACTATACTGTTAGTTTGCCTCAGGCGAAACATTAATTGTGAATGAGATTACAAATACGCGAAACGTAAAAGCCGGGCATACGATACAGACCAGTTTCAGTGTGAAAAACTCCAGGCTATGCGTATGGCATGAATGGAATGTTGTCCAGGTACGCTTTAAAATACAGCGCAGAAAAATAAGGTTTTCTCTCAAATGCTAAAAGAGAGAATTCCACAACGCTGCCACATTCAGTTAATATCCATACCCAATTTATCAGTACAGAGCACCAATCTAAATAATTTGGAAACGCGACGGACACAAGATAAATTACAATCCGCATTAGTGTAATTACAGACAGATGATGTTACCCACTGCCTTGCTAACTCACAGTTCCATCTTGATAATCCGTTAAAAGCATAGGCTACCAGCACAACAGAATTTAGGTATCTGTGCCGGTTATAAATAGTAATCATAATACTAACAGCAACAATACCACACGTCACTTTCGAGTGATTCAGTAACTTGTTCACAACAGCTCGTATTATTTTATTTTTGTTAATTCAAGAACGCCTTTTCAGTAGCTTGGACTATATAACGTCGAATGAGAGGATGCCAGTAAGTAATGAATTGACAAGGATGTGGAAGGAAGCGGTCGTGGCCTAATTTAAGGTACTATCCCGGCACTTGCCTGGAGGGACTAAGGGAAAATCCAGCAAGCAAGATGTGAACTCGAAACCTCCCGAATACGAAGCAGGAGTGTTAACCACTCGGCCACGACGTTCGGCAACAATTTGTATTATCACCCCGGGTTCTATCTGACTGTGAAAGATACAGGCTTACAGCTTTCAGAGCTTAAATAATTTATTACGAATTTTCTTTCACACACTAATTATTCTGGAAACGCTCATCAAAAACAAAAATTATAACCAGTGTAGAAGCATTTTAAAGAATATCCGAAAACAAAATTACAGAATAAGGCCATATCAATAATTTGTTTAGGTTGGCTATTTTTTTGGATTAGACTTGCGATATGCCTAGGCGCTAAGCTAGGTTACGTTAGTTAAGTCCACACGAAAGAATAACTGCTTTACTTTCTACTCACTGGACTGGGACAAAGAGAAGAAGAGAGATGATTGATAAAGCATAAAAGTACCACTGGACTGAAGAATATGGTAATTACTGTAACTCCCTATAACCCGCGTTGGCGAATGGATAAATATAGGCCGGTAGTATCTCCACTTCATAAAATTGTAAGTGGCATGTTCCCTCCATTAAATAAGCTACGTCCATTATTCCATAATCCAGCACGTACTGGCACAATGACATGGAACTGCGCGGTCACGACTGTGCGCATATTACAGGGAAAAATACACGCTGTGGTCAAACATATTAACGAAACAGCGTAACCATTTCAGTATTTTGAAATTGATATGTAAGCGTACTACACTCAGCAGCAAGTTACAGGCATTCAGT